CGATCGTTGCCGCTGACACATACACACCAGAAGAAGAGCACACCAGAAGCACGATCCGATCGTTGCTAGTTGTTGTCTGGCGAAGTGCGGATCGTGTGCATTTGTGTTGGACAGCACGACACGGACGCGTATGATCGACCGCAACAACGGCCACTTTAAACCACCGCTGGACCCCCAGCCGATGACGTGTGTAAAGTGTGTGCTGGTGGGCGATGGCGCCGTTGGCAAAACCAGTCTTATCGTCAGTTATACGACGAACGGCTTTCCGCAGGAGTATTCACCCACCGCCTTCGACAACTACAACGGTGAGCATTTTTATTATGGTTCAGTGTTTCTTTTCTCTTAAAGCCATCCCCTTCTCCGCTAGATGCTATGCCCTTAATCGACTCCATCACTTCTGACAATAGTGCCGCAGCAAATCTTTCTACACGATCACTTTAAACGTTTTTTACACTTAAATTTTTGATCAATGCCCCCTCCCCCACCCCACATACGATCCCAATTCATTCTGATTCTCAGGCAGTACGCGTATTTATTGAGCACTTGCGTCGCACCGCGTCACATGTTCCTTTTTCGAATGCTGCTACCAAAGTTGTACCATGTGGTTGTTTCTTTCATCATCATTGCGAAACGTCGTTGCAGTGTCCGCCTGAGCTGACGCACATTGTCTGCCTGTCCGTCACGACGATCACACTTCAAGAAAAAAGCGACAGGTCTCGAAGTTATCCGGTTTTTTTGAACGCCAGATGTTTTTCCTCGTTGTTCTTGTTAAGTGGCAGCGGCGCCACCGTTGTCTCGTCTTTTATCACCCTCGTTGTCGCACGGCTGTTCTCTGGCTCGCCAGGGGGTCACTCATCGGTCAGCGCGCTTTCACAAATTGCCTCTTATTTTTAAACATGTTCCTGCGTGCCCTGTAGTACAGTTTTTCGGTTGTCGATCACAATATATGTTACCCACCTTTCCCTCAGTACGACCGATCTGCCAGTCCGACCGTTACCATTGAACTATAACCGATTACCATTATTAACTATCATTGAACTATAACTTTCAGGTTAGTGGTATTTTGGAAACCATGCAAAAAAGAAAAATTATGAATACAGTCCTGAATTAAGTGTCATAAATGATTTCATTTTTAAAAAACTTTTATGCCTGTCTAGAACCGCTCTCAAAGCTGCATTCAATAGACAAGTTACGATGTTTCTAGCTGCTGGTAGAAATATGGAAATCTTATACTGATGAATCAGAGTAAAAGAGAAACGGAATGTAACACGGACTCAATCAAAATTTAAAGATCATATGTTAAAGCTTTGGTTCATTAAAGTCGCTATCACATATATTAAAAGGACAGTTGACAAAAACATATCGTTTAAATCCCATTGTAACCCGCATTTCATGTACAGGACTGATAATGTGCTATTTTGACATATTTATTAAAAGATTTACGATAATCCCGTAGATCGATTCTTTCGTCTACGCCGTATAAAACAGACAGATGCCGCAGACGGGAATAAATTCAAAGATATAGCTTGGTAGGATTTTGCCATCATTTACGGCATAGTAAAATCTTTTGGTGAATCTGGAGGTAGAAGGTTGATAAGGCAATGGCTGTAGGTAATCTTCGAAAGGACAAATATTTGCTTGAATTACACACCGACAACGGGCCCTAATTGAAAGATTGGCGCCACCCTCCGCATTTGTTCCTTCACAGTAACGGGATAAAGCGTAATTCTGTCTTTTCTGTTGGTATAATTATATCTGGAATGAATAGAAAAATAATCCTAGTACAAGGGTATGAAAATGAACACCATAATCGATAACCGCTATATTCCAGCCTTTAAAATGTAATTAAAATTAATTGCAGTTTTAGCCATCATAGAAAAGTCCGCTTCGACCGTGACATTACTGCTATATTGAATATGTGCTTTCACCTGCTAAGTATCAAGTTAATCAATCATACGTTTATCTAACATAGAGTGACCCCTCCGAGAAGAGATTTTACGGCGTAATGCGCTAATGCGCCTCCCCTTGCTCCTAGTTGCTAGAGGAGAGAGAGGGCATCGAAGCGGACCATAGCATTTGAACACCTGCACTACATATGCATCTTGCGTCATTTTGTCCGCTAGAGGAACCTCGCGCTCATCACGAACGACGTTTCAAGTATAACGATGCTACCGCATGATCATTATAAGCTATTCGTACTCGTGATTATGTCAGATAACCAATGACTCCTCCATGCGAGATGGCTGCAGCTGCCACTGCAGGTGCTCAAACACTATGAAGACGTAGTCTGATTAAATGCACCCAGGCAACTATGATAAAGGGGACGGTTCGACACGTCGTTAAACCTTGTTTTGGAGGAGTCATTCGTTATTTGACGTAATTGGGAGTATAAACAGCTTATGATGTTTATACATATGCACTGATTATTTCATGCAGGCACTTTTGTCAATATTGAAATTATTTATGCTAACTACGTAAATCTCCATCTGTCTGAGACGACAACATTGCAGTCTTAGACAGTAAGGACAAAATCAAATTAACTTACAGCCTGGTTTCTGCCATTAGATGCAAAGAAGTTGCCGTAACAGTCGTTCAACAACTTTTGCTTCTCTTTGACCTTGGGATGAGTCGAGGGACAGCGGGTGAGCTTCGGCCTGAATATCTATACAAATGTCCTTATTGCTTCTATGACTCCGTGTGAATTGGAATCAGAGTAGATTTTTCTGAAATCTACTGATCATTAGAACATGGAAATGAGTCTTTTCGTAAGTTCATTCCCTTTCACGTTGATTACTTTCCGGTCGAACGCCATCTCTATGCATATGAGACGCTGTCTTCGGTAGTGGTTCTTGATTTCAACCCACTTTCTTTCGTTTTGTCTCGGCTTCAGTGCTGTTCTACAGAACGCCCCGACGGTTTCCATAAACATTTAGCGAAGATCGTAATTCCTGGAATTAGTCGGTTTAAGAAAATGTGGTAATCCTTAACAGTGTCTGAGAAGGAGATCTTCAGGAAGCACATTCTTGTATGATGTATGAGATTAATTTCTGACCTTTGGATTTTTCCGAGTCCTTGTGTTGCAGTTTTTGTGCGTACTAGCCGTATGGATAAATAAATAAAAAAGTTAACGAAAGTTTCAAAGTCTCTGGAAAGTTTCTAGGTCCTGATATGCATATACAAAGTTGTATAGTCGCACCTTTCGCAACTGACTCGAGGCTTCTTCGGAGGCCACTGAGGAAACAAATTCCCAAATCGAGTCTTTTCGTGTTTTGAATAGTCAAGTCGTATGATATTAATCCTTGCAGTGAAATTGAAGGCTATAAGAACTGAGTCAGTGAAATTGAATGATTTGTCAGGACAACAGTGATACCCTTCTTAACGTGGGCTATACTTGTATTACCCTGGGGCCATCGTAAGTTTCGTATGATTCCACTGACCGCCACTGGGGCATATCGACCAAGTGTGAAAGAACTGGCATAGAGCTGAGTAAAAACACTGCTTCTACCGATGAACCGTTTTCCTCGATGAGATTTTCGCCAGTTATTGTTTTGTCATTGTCATCTGAGGTTAACAGAACTTAAATACCACAATAATTGAGATATGCGATGTCTGACTGCTAGAAATGGCATGCTTCAGATTGATATTGAGGAACGTTCACTTCTGCCACAAACATCATATTCCTCATTCCTTATTTCCATCCTATGAACATATTTCCATGCCATTTTTTGTCGTTTTATCCAACCAGACCAGCTGTCACGTTGGATGGTACTTACGAGCAGATCATCAGTAGGAGAGAAGCTATTTTTAACTAATTTTTTGTGATTCTGGCGCAATGGTGACATATGGATTCTCTTAATCCATGTACTTCCAAGTATCAAAACGCGTTGCATGAGGTTTATGCATTCCACCAAAACTAATTGAGGTCATTTGCAGACTTAGGCTAATCGGTAAAAGATATTTAACAATCGGGAATAGCCGACACATCATTCGGTAACAGCCTGAGTAAGTTAATCCAACGTGAAAGCATGGGTATCAGCACCTTAAGCAGCCTTGGCTGCTAACCTCTTTAGATTAAAAGCGGCTATGTTGTCGTAAACGAACCTTAGGTCATAAAGCTGGATAACAGGTAGAGTTATGGCTAATGAACGAGGTTGGGCTTTAGTCTGTGTTACTCTGCCGTTCAAGTCTTGTTTATGTTTGAGTTTGTTTATGTTTTCGAGTTTTGTTTATGTTTTTTGTTTATACTTGAGAGTCACCTCAGCGGGGTCCAAGAAGCGTCGAATTTACAGAAGAAGAAATGACGGTGCAGAACTCTACCAGTAGTCAGTCTTTTCGTCTCTCCATAGAAGTAGAGTCGCAGGCACCCGGAAGTGCAGAGACTGCCGACAAAAAGTAGTCTATCAGTAGGGCAGCGAGAGTGTAAATGTGCTTGTTTCCAGTGCACGTTTTGCGTATGCTTTTTATCATCTTCTAAGCTCTGTACCAGTTCACGTT